ACCCTCAAAGGGACATTAGTACCTATTTACCCACTCTCAGCAGGGCACACTAGTCATGGTGGCTGCAAAAGAGGAAGAGAGGCAAGGGCAGCAGGGACCGACACCCAAATCTGACCCAAAGAAGCTTGACTTTTGAGCCATGATGTCTACTCCACTGGAGAGCTCCAGCTTCGGGTTGCCAGTCATATAATTTTAAGTCTTGAAATACTCTGACCAAGTTCAAAGAGTTGATCCCAAATGATTATCAGTCTGACTTTGGAGCCATACTTGAAAAGGGCAAGGTTATCACAGGACTCTCCTTGCAATTTGCACTGGAGTCAGTGGGCTTGGTGACCCAGAGGATGTCCACTGCTATAGCCATGTGAAGGAGCTCATGGCTGCATGTTTTGGGCCTCTCGCACAAGATCCAACAAAAATTCAAGACTTGCCTTTGATGGCTTCGGTCATTTCTTGAAATAAACAGGCTTTAAGCTCCATAATCTCAAGGACTCACAAGTAATACTGAAGTCCCTGGAGCTACAAACACCAGTCCCACGAAGAAGCATTTCAGGCTCCGCCTACACTGTGCTTCTACTCCACTCAGCCCCGACAAGATTACAACAGCAAGCAGGGAAGAGTAATAGGCAAAATCCTTCACAGCCCTCTTACAACTAGAGGCAGAGCTCAGCAAGGGTATGTCTACACTACAAAGTTAGTTCGAACTAACGGACATTAGTTTGAACTAACTTTCATAGGCGCTACACTAGTGCTCCGTTAGTTCGAATTTAATTCGAACTAATGGAGCGCTTAGTTCGAACTAGGTAATCCTCATTCCACGAGGATTAAGCCTAGTTCGAACTTACTAGTTCGAATTAAGGGGTGTGTAGCCCCTTAATTCGAACTAGTGGGAGGCTAGGCCTCCCCAGGTTTCCCTGGTGGCCACTCTGGCCAACACCAGGGAAACTCTACTGCCCCCCTCCCGGCCCCGGAGCCCTTAAAGGGGAACGGGCTGGCTACGGTGCCCGTGCCAGGTGCAAGCCTGCCAGCACCCAGCCAGCAGACCCTACACCTGGGACGGCACGAGCCAGCCACCCGATGTCCA